CCAGCCGCACCCTCTGCTGGCCTCGCCCCCCGGCCACAGGGGCCCCCCAGTGACTTCTGCACGCCCTCGGCCCTAAGGGAGCAAGGACGCGGGCGCCTGGCTTGGCCGGTGCAGGGGCGGCGCCCGAGGCCTTTGGAGGCCCCAGGTGGCCACGCACGAAGGTTCAAGCGCAAGCAGCTTTATTCTGTCACCCGCGGGGGGCCTCCCCACACCGCCCCTCCCCTCCTCCGTGCAGCCACGGACAGGCCAGGCTGGGCGAGGGGCGGGTCGCCGGGCTGCTCCATCAGAGTCTCCAGGTCCCCTCGCACACCGCCCGGTAGGTGTCCTCTGTCAGGGGCCGGAAGGCCTGGGCCTGGTGGTCCAGCAGGTACAGGGCGTCGGCGATGGCGCCCACGTCGAAGCCCTCGCGCACCAGCCGCGATTTCAGCAGTTTGAAGGTGGTGGTTATCTCCAGGGTGTCCTGCAGGGCCAGGCGGCAGCCGGCTGTGACTGCCCCGCCCCGCCCCCGCGCCCCCCGCGCGCCCCTCCGCTCACCTGGACACGGATGAAGTGCGGGGCTGCGTAGGCAGGTAGCCAGGTGCGCACGTGCTGATACAGCTTGTGTCCGTCGAAGGGGCGGCCGGGGGCCAGCCGCACGGCAGCCATGCCCACCTTGCCCTCACACCCTGGGAAGCGCCCCAGTCACCGGGCAGCCGGGCCTGCCGCCCACACCTGCGGCTCCCGGCTTCGCTCGGTGCCACCTGCACCTAGCAGGCCGCGGGCACGGGAGGCACACCTGGCACGGGCACGCCGTACACGTTCACCTCCTGCAGGAAGTCCAGCAGCAGCAGCACGCCCTCCACCTCCCGCGTGGACACATTCTCACCCTTCCACCTACGGGTGCAAGGGGCGCTCCTGCAGTGCGGGTCCCGCCCCTCCCGGCCCCGCCTCACCTTAAGCAGCGCCCCGCCCACTCCGCGCAGGCCCCGCCCCTCGAGCCCCGCCCACCGGAAGGTGTCGCCGAGCCGGTCGCGGAAGTACAGGAAGCCCTCGCGGTCCATGGCCAGCACGTCCCCCGTGTTGAGGTACACGTCGCCCGCACGCCGAACGCCCCGCACCAGCTTGCGCTCCGACAGCTCGCGGGGCCCGTGGTAGCCCACGAAGGGGGTGCGGCCGAGCACCTGGGTCAGCAGCAGCCCCGGCTCCCCTGGGGCGAGGGGCGTCAGCCGCGG